AGATCTGTGCCAGCGTCATCCAGGGGTGTAGCGGGCCCTGCTTGGGGGCGCTGCTCTGCAGAGACGAGGCCACTTCTGACAGTGCCTGCTCCACTCTGGAGGCCGCCACGGACGTGGCGTGGACAGAGCCTGTGGGGGGGGGCGGTTCGAGAAGACGGCATCAGAAGTAAAAGGACAGACCCATGCGACTAGCCATCCACCCGCCCCCTCCCACACACAGACACGAGTTCAAGACGAACACACACTCCTTCCCCCATGATGCTTCCAAGTTGTATGTCCATAAAGAAATACAGACAATCATTACGGCCTTGAACGGGAGTTTCCATCCTGCGCTCGAGCTAATGTTTTAGTCAACAACCAGAGCACATGCTGTGGGAGGTGCTCCATCCGGGAGCTCAGTCTCAGACAGCGCGAGTGTTGGGGCAGGAGAGGGGTAGAGCTGGACACACGGCCGTGACGCTCATGCGGAAACGTGGCACGAATGAAGGGCTACAAAGGCAAGTGACACAGCACGCCGGCTGGGCCTAAGTCTAGAAGCCATCTGGGGGGCAGGGGGAGGAGTCATCCTTGCCTCCTGGGGACAGAGGAGACCATTCTCAAGACAAACCCAGCAACCTGCCATTCCTCTCCCTGGCCTTCGAGAGCTGGCCAACACCCCTAGATTTGGAACCACATTCTAGGACATGACCTAAGGATAGGAGGAAGAGCACACGTTGGCCCTACGTACAAGCAGATGTCCATTGTCAAGGTTGCACTAAGGGAGGATGGGCTAGAGCAAAGGCACCTGGGCTCAGGAGGGGTACCCGTCGGCCTCGGGGGCAAAGCTCGTTGTCCTAAGCGGCTAAGGAGAGGAGCAGACCGAGCACATCCTCTAGTCAAAGGAAGCTGGTAAAGGAACTTCTATTCAGAAATCAAATGACTCATTCCTTGTCCTGCTGCCCTTCCACGGGGTCCTGGTGGCTGGAGTGCACTCCCTCCACAGGGGGCTGGCTCCTCACCTCTCCCCCGCACGCTCCCTCTTGGAGGTGTGGCCTCAGAGCTGAGAGCAGGCGTCTCAGTCATTTCAAACTGCAAACTGTTGATATTTATGTCACTGGCCACATTCTTTCATTTTTAATTCATCAACAAGCGTAACATGGAGAGAGACGTTCCGACATCGTGAGTGGTAACTCTCGACTTATTGTAAGGTTTCAAGTAGTGATCATCTATAAAGACAAATGCTGACCACTCCAATGCACCCAGCTGGTTATACTCTGGGTAAGACAAAATTGTGCGCATAAAAATAATTTCTGTTGGGGCTTTGAGATGCGCCACAATTTATTCGTTTTGAGAGTATTTGCAGCAAGAGGCTGGCCATCCATATTGTGCTTTGACTGTTCCAACATGAAGGAAACATGGGTACCTCTAAATACACTCAGATCCTTCAGCGGGGGTTTGGTGGAGGGAGCTCACGGGAGGCAGACGGAAACTAGACTGGGAATCCGCCTTCTGTGGATAATCCACACAGAGCACCCACGAGGACGAGCGAGAGGAGAGCGCCTCGGGGGATGGACAGTGAGTCCTGCAGAGGGAACCAGGACACACAGGAGGAGGAACCGGAGGCCGAGTTAAAACACGCCAGTCGATGCCATTATGACCCAGAACTCACGAAGCTCAGCTAAGGACTGACCCTTGCTTAGACAAAGTGTGTCTGACTACTTAAAAAAAAAAAAAAATCAAAACAGCAAAATGATCAGACTGCTGTTGATTATTTTGGTCTTGTTTTGTTTTGGACTTTCCATGGAAAAGAAATATTTTAACTTTGAGAACAAGGATTTGATACAGTTTTCCTGAGAACTTTAGTAGCAACTGTCAGCTAAATAAACAAGGTTGCTGTATATTCTGATGTCACCACGCTGGCTCGCCTTCTCATCGCCTGCCTTGAACAGTGGTTCTCAACCTTGGCTTCGGGTCAGAATTCCTTGGGGACTTAAAAGACCATGATGTCATAGCTGGCCCCAGGCAAACCGCATCACTAACTCTAGGGGGGAGGGCAGGCCTCTTGCTAATCGCCTAGGTGATCCCGCTCTGTGGTTGGGAGACCCATCCACCTGGAGAGACAGAAAGCAGTTTTTACTAACATTTGGTCAAGAAAAGCCTGCAGGAATATTCTACACACGCCAGGCAGGGAGCATGAGCTCCCCTGCTTCCCTGCAGCCCAAGACCCTGGGGAACAGAGTTCCAGGAAGATCTTGTTCTTTAGAACACTGATTCTCAATTCTCCTGGTCTCAGGATCCTTTTATAGACTCTGCAGAGTCCCTGAGACCCCTGCCAGAGATTTTGCTTCCATGGGTTATATCTATTGATGTTTTTGCCACCTTGGAAATCAAAACTGAGAAATGCTTAAAATACCTCGCCATTAATTCATTTGCAACTAACAATAATAAACAAATACTGAAGAAAAAGTCAACCCGTTTTCTCCTAGGTTCTATGGGTCCTTTGCTATGAGGACCTGTGACTTTTGGAGGGGCTAATTTTGGGTTTTGGATTCACTATTTGGTCTGCAAACAAATTAATCAGAACCACTCTTAAAGTCCCTTCTCTTCGTGATAGCTATACACAACTAAATTAACTAATTATTCACATAATAACATGGTTCCCTGTGAATAAGGTCTGGCAAACGATGACAGTAGTGATTATCAGTTTTAGCGAACACAGCATGGCAGGTTTCAGGCAGTCCAATGAGCACTTTACGTATATATTTCGCTTAACCTTTAAACAATTCTATGAGGCGGCTAACGATGTTACTGCATGCTTTAGACAACAAAACTGAGATTTAATGAGCTTACGAATTTGTCCAAAGTCATACAGCCAGTGGGTGGCAAAAGTAGGACTCGAACAGTAGTCTAACTCCGAATCTAGCCTCCACATCCAGCTCCCGTACCACCTCCTCCAGAAAGGCTGCCGTGAGCCTTCCGTTTCTTCTCCCTGTCACTCCCCTGTAAGAAGGTGGTGGGCCTTGGGTCCTCAGTGCTCCTCCAGCTCCCTGTGGGTACGGCTATCCACTGCACAGACCACACCGTTTTCTGTTAACGTCACTGTCTCTCCTCTTAGACTGTGGTTCTAGAAGACAGGAGGCAGGCCCCACATCGAGGTGCTTTCAGGGGCTGACCATGCCAGGCCCATGAGAGCTACCAGGTAAAGGCTTGCAGAATGAATGAGCACTGTCGAGAGACATGTCACCGTCTGAAATCTGGAAGAGAGTGGTCGGTCCCCTCTTTTGGAAGCATGTGTGTGTGCTCTACTCTCCTGGCCTAACAATGACTCAGAGGCCAGAACCTTCATTGTCTCAAAGGGCTTCTCCGTGTGGCTGTCCTCACTTCCAACCGCCGGGACTGCAAATGACCGTGGCACATAGTAGCTTAAACACTGCACCTCACTCCGGGACTTTCCCCCGTCTCTAATATAACTACACCATTTAAATATGGAGGGGAACTGCGGGTTTCCCTCTTAGTCGATCCCTTTTAACACACGCTTCGCAAGGGCAGAGACCCTTCATGTTCTAAACTAGGGACGGATATTAGAGCATTCGGGTATTTGCTAACAATAGCAGGTGACTAATAATAAGGGCCACATTACTGAAGAGTTAACGTCTACTATTCCTGGCAATAATACAATAAGTCAAATTCTTCCATAGGATTAGAATTTGGAGGAAAAAAATAAACATCATTATGAATCAGAATGGATATATCTGATAAAAACAAAACAAAAACAAAAACAGCCTGTAAGTGACTGTCTCATAGGACTGAAATGGTAAGTGCCAAAATAGATACTTTACCAAAATAGATTTTGATTTATGTAGGTACACAACTGGAAATGCTAGTTCTAACCAACATTTGTTTTTTAAAGCAACCCTTGTCTTTCTCACCAAAGCAAATGTATCCCTACAGTGTACGTGGGGGTGGAAGGGATTATTACCCTAAGGGAAATGGACAAATTGAGGCTTAAAAAAGGAATCAGAGGGAGGAATATAAGATATATTTCTAATTTGAAATCCAAGACTCTGGAGGAATGAGCTTCCACATAATCAGGTTCAACAGGTAAGCCGGAGAGAGTGCCCGGCTGCTGAGCATCTCTTATTTACCACGTTAATTCGAGATGTGCTTATCACTGTCGTAACCCTGCCGGCCGAGCGGGGCTGTGCTCTCCCAGGGCCCTCAGCCACAGGGCACAGAGGCTCTGCAAAGCCACTGCAAAGCAACTGAACCGAGAGCTGGTGCAGGCGGCAGAGAGCGCGCCCGGCAATCTGGTCCAGGTTCTGTGACCTAATTGTCCAAATGGTCCAGGGGGCAGCAGATGCCCTGGAGCTGAGCAGATCCACATCTCCCCAAGTCAACTGCTTTCTCTTCTCTGCTACCCAGATGCCCTAAAGAAAATGTTATCTTGGACACCTGATCCAAAGGCAAAGTGCCACCTGAAGAACTGTTCAGATTCCTACATCCAGGGTTTTCGTCTGGAGGGGTGGGGGAGGACGGGAAGGCAATAGAGAGGACCTGGGGACTGCAGTGGGCAGGCAGCTCCCCACGGCTGAGAGGACCCAGAACCAAGGCCACTGACCTCAGGAAGCCGTGAGTCCGAGCTCTGAACCCCTCCCGAGGTTTTCTGACCCAGGCTGTTGTCATGTGCTGAAGCCTGTTGAGAAACCCCAAGGCAAATGGGACACCAGGAGCAGCCAGCTCAGATTGCTGGTACAGCCGGAGCCTTCCCAAAAATCCTCTCTCCAAAGCATGCTACCCCTGTGGCCGACCCCACACGGACCTCCGAGGGCGCAATCGCATGTGAACCCCATCTCACCATTCAAAGGGATCTCAGAGGCCACAACCTTGTTAGGCACAAGGCGTAAGACATGGCCTGGCTACTTTCACAAGCATGGTCACTGGATGCATGGCCTCTATTTATAGTCTAGCTGTCCTTCGGACTGTTCCGGTGGCACTGGGTAATCGGCTCTTGTCCCTCTCCCCTCGCAGCTTCCCAGCATGTCGTACCTAGACTAGATCTTAGATCAATCTCTGCCCACCTGGTGCCTGGGCAGGTGTCAGCGTCCAGGCATAAGGGACAAGTGTTACATGATGTGCAACGATAATCCTTC